ATTTGTTTGACATCAAGAATGTTATCCTTCAGCCCACTCAACATTTTTCATGATAAGAAAATTGAATTTAATTCAAGTAACACCTCTCCAGGTGAGGTTTTCATTTTGGCTGCTCTATTAACTATTTGATCCATGAAAACATAACACCATTAATCAAAAATGAATTACATGATTAATTATTACAGCCCTAAAGTTGTTTGATACCTATTGTCAAGCAGTTCACTATATTAATTAATTCATTTCATAGCTATAGCGTGCCTATCAGAGGTGACTATGCTAGACAAAAAAGGTATAAATGTAGTAAGATATAATAATTACTGGAGTAGCACATTTCTGAATGAAGAAAAGATACGTAAATGTATTCTCAATGCAATGTGAAAATCATTATCAAAAACATTATGCACAAGGTGTTCACTAAGTTCCTTTCTTTAAGTTCCTTTCTTATATAGTAAAATAGGATTCAAGAAAATATTTGGAAATTTCACTCAAAGTGGAATATTATTTCATATGAGCTCAGTGGTTAGACATGCTGTGTTGTCCATTGTAGTAGCCATTAGCCAAATGTAGCTATTGAAATTAAAACTATTTAAAGTTAAATAAAATGAAAAATTCAGTTCCTCAGTTGCGTAAGTTACATTTCAAATCTTCAATAGCTTCATGTGGTAATGATTACCATATTTGATAACTGGGGTTATAGAACAGTTCTATCACCACAGAAAGTTTTCTTGGGCAGTGTAGGCATAGTAGAACTACTTTATTTATCAACTCAAAAATTTTATAAAAGTTTGTATTTAAGTGATGCTTTGTAATTATTTATCCCCAAAAGGCAATGATCTTTTTTGAAAACAGTTCTGTTCCAAATTAAAATTTTAAAATACCAAGCTATATAACAAAGGCCAATTTCTGGTTTCAAGTAAAATGTTGTGTACTATTTCCCAATGAAGTCATAGCAAGTGAATTAGTTGATTTCCAGTAATGTCTTGCTCATCATTTAATTCTTAGTACTTATTGAGGTGTCCGATACAGACAAGTAGAAAAATAAATATTTATTGAATGTTAAATAGATAAATAAATGAATGCTTTTTTTCCTTCTTTGAGAGGTAGTCAAACGAACAGAAGCAAGGTTTGCCTGCAGATAAAGAGATCACTTATGCCATGAGCTGTCTTTTTCTGTTCACCATTTCCAGGTAAGGAATATAATATTTAAATTTAAAAATGAAATGAAACCTTAAAGATAATTTGAATAGATCTTGAAGACAATGCAGTTAATCGCCTTTTTTTTTTAAACAGATGTTGGCAAAAGTACTGGTATAGGCAAGTTCACACTGCTAATTAATAACAGATCAGGACTAGAACATAGGCTATCAGAGGAAATAAAATATCATTTCTTTAATTGGCATAATTCAATATAAAACACCACTTTAAGGTACAAGAGAGTATTTATATTGCATTTTGAGAGAGCGTTTGGCACCACAGGGATTGAGATTGCAGAAATGATTGAGTGGTCCAATGAAATATTTTATTCCAAAATAAAGATTCATGATGCATCAGAAAGTAATGTTCCACTCAAATTTGTGAAGACATTCAGGGTCATATTACGACAGTTACTTACAACAGGAAAGATAGATAATCAGTTTATGATAACAGTAGGGGATTATGGATACAAAATATACCATAGTATCTTATTTCTTTACACTTATTTTTTGTACATTTTAAAAATATTCTGATTTTAATGTTGATATGCATAATAATTTAAAGTATTCTTTTTGTTTATGGTGTGAAAACATGAATTACTCTCAGCCAACTTAATTTATGATGCAGGTTAATCACATGTTCATAACTGAGGTTTACACCTCAGTTGGTGAGAGTCATGCATAATTATAAACAGATTATATAAGAGAAAATAAATTTGGCTTATGATCCTAAACTTATAAAATGAGCACAAGTGTTTCTAAGGAATAAAAAGTATCATTCTTCTGTGTTGAGAGTACTTGATCAAAACCCAGAAAGTCGAGAAACATGATGGTATCATGGCAAGGTAAGCCATCTGAACATCAAGACATGCTGTTGGGCATGTTCAATTAGGGAAAGCTTTGACCTCTAACAACACCCAGTACCGATGTTTCCTCCCCGTGGAACCAAGAAGACCAGGACGCGACCAGAACATGGACATGTTGTTTTTTTATTTAGGCAATTACTGCTTGGAATAAAGATGTCTGTTTTGAAGTTGGGTTAGGTAATTACAATAGGAGAAAATACAAAGGACTAGCTATTCATTCTGAAGCAACAACTGAAGAGAACTAAGGAATTCTAGATAGCAAGTTGTATCAATTGGAGATTGATTTATACAGGGAAGGGGGAAAAAGTGAGACATAGATCCCACTGGTATTTCTGTGAAATCAACATGTTATCAAATAAGCATCTTCTGCCCAATGAGGAGTGCTGAGTTATGTCATAATGAACTGCAAGCAGAAACATACCATCTACACTCCGGTATATATTTTTTGACATTATGATTCAAAGTTCAGTATCCTCTTTCTTAAGGCTTTTTCCAACAGTGAGACATGAACACAGTGATAATTTCTCTAATAAATACTTAATTCCCTTGGGTGCTTTAGACAGATAACTAATGGAACATTATAGTATATATGGGTGGGTTCTCATATTTCCAAATATTAATTAGAGTATGTCACAACCTTACAGAAAATACACGGATGACATTAAATTTTCTGAGATTTTTCCAAAAGGAAAATTTACCAACAATGCCATTGTAACCTTAGCACCACTCCATACTGGCCCTACTCTGTTAACAGGATGTTGAGTCACTCTGTAGGTATAACAGAGCCAAAACAGCAAGTCATGTAGCCTGGGCATGCTCAATAGAGAAAGCTTTGACCTTTAACAACACCCAGAACCAATGTTTCCTCCCTGTGGAACCAAGAAGACCAGGACATGACCAGAACCTGAATGCTGGAACCTTTTCAGAAGTGAGGGGTCTGTTGGCCAGGAAAATCAGGTATTAAAGTCCACCTCAACATACCTTACTGTAAATGGTCAAATTTGAAGCCCTCTTCAAATTTAGGTATGTTGCCAAGCCAACATTCCTAATGCTTTCCCTTGTTTTCTGACTCCTTAAAACTTGCCCTGTACCCCAAATCAGGGAGACAGATTTGAGCCAAACCTCCTGTCTCCTTGCTGGTCAGCATCTCAATAAAGCCTTTGCTTTCTCAAAAGCTAGTACCATAGTATCAGCTTCTATGTGTGTTTGGAAGACCAATAGAAGTGGTATACTAGGAAACTCTTTGATATGACATCTTAAATGACATACTGTTTCCATCTAATTAAATATGTAAATTTTAGCAATGAAGATGAATTCATTTAATGAGTTTTCATCTCTGAGTATAGGAAATTCTTTTTTGAAGGTAAAATCGACCTTCAAAAGGTTTATTTTGCTTGTTTATTGTTTTCTATGTGGGAAAGGAGGATATTTATTATCGTTGTTCATTTCATAGAATTCTATTCAAGGATTTTATCAAAATGTTGCCTGTTTCAACCTTTATTCTAACTTTTTGTCCTCTTACAACTCTTAAACCTTATGGAAATGGGACTGAGCCCTTAATCTGTGGCACCTGATGCTAACTCCAGGTAGATAGTGTCAGAATTAAGTTGAATTAGAGGACACTCAGCTGGTGTTCTCTGGAGAATCTGCTGGCTATTGCTTGGTGGGTGTATAGGGAGAAAACCCCACACATTTTGGTGACCAGAAGCCAGAGGAATATTCTTTTTTTTTTTTTTTTTTTGAGACAGAGTCTCACTCTGTTGCCTGGGCTAGAGTGAGTGCCGTGGTGTCAGCCTAGCTCACAGCAACCTCACATTCCTGGGCTCAAACAATCCTCCTGCCTCAGCCTCCCAAGTAGCTGCGATTACAGGCATGTGCCACCATGCCCGGCTAATTTTTTTTTTTCTATATATTTTTAGTTGTCTGATTAATTTCTTCCTATTTTTAGTAGAGACGGGGGTCTCGCTCTTGCTCAGGCTGGTCTCGAACTCCTGAGCTCAAACAATCCGCCCGCCTCGGCCTCCCAGAGTGCTAGGATTACAGGCGTGAGCCACCGAGCCCAGCACAGAGGAATATTCTGTGTTGATTGTTGTGTGAGAATAGGAAGAGCATTTTTTTCCATGTAGTTATCTCAATTTCAATGAAGTTACAGACCATTGTTTGTTCGTGAGTAAACCTTATGAACTTAAAATTTGTTTAATTAGAAGTTTTTTTTTTCCAGAGTCAAGATAAAAATACTGATAAGACACATTAACCATTTTCTGATTGTAGCAATGTTAGAGATCAAAATATTTTGCTAAGTCATACAAGTTATAGAAGGTCATTTCACATTGAAAATTAGAGTTTTCAGAAATTACTGATGTAGATGAAGCATCAAAACTTACCTCTGTCTGTGTCGTACAGGAAGACAAAACAGTTCCATTCATAGTGATCTAGCAGACTCAACAGTGCTCCTCGTAACGAAGGCCTTAGTTGCAGCACAAACTGGCTCTCTCCCTCAGTAGGGAAACTTGGTGTGATGAGGGAGATATGCAAGGCGCTGCAGAATGAGGTCAAGGTATGTACTGACCTCTTATCATAGAGTCCAAAAATGGCAAATACTCCTCTAGAATACTGGGAACAGACTGAAACAAGAGAGAGAGAAAAAAAAATCCACAAACTATTAGCACACTCAAATACTTGACCGTATAGTCTACATTCTATGAAATTAAAAGATAAGAATCACTGAATCATCGATATGTTAGGAATGTAAGATAAACAGAGTAAAAGCAGTAGGCAATTAATCGTACAATCAATTAATGAATTCTTGAGTTGTACTCAAAGCCCTATATGGAATGCAGCTGATTTGAATTGGAGTCCTATATCAAGAAGCCAATTTAAATTAAAGGGAAATTTGACTAAAATAATGTATGGCCTTCCATGATAATGTGGCAAATCCTATGCTGGAGACTTTTATGTGTGATAAATCTAATTTTTTTCTGTGTTTTTGCTTTATATGAAAAAATATGATAATGTACTTTTGAAATTTTTGAGTATTAATTGAAGGAACATTTAAATTACCTTGGTATGCCCTCCTGCCTAAGCTGTATGTATATCTTTTCTATTCTTGAATTGGATTACAGTTTTTACTGGGCCTAAATTTTTGCCTTTGTGTATGTGTGTGTGTGTGCAGTGGCAGTTTCATTTTTAATCAAAAATCTTAGAGTTCCCTTGAATCATGTTTGAAAATAGAAGTTAGACTGTCTAGAAGGTCATTCTTGGGGTATCTGAGAGGCTTAGTGAATTGGGGCCAGCTGCATAGCTTCTAGGGAGGCCATAAAGCTGGGATAAAGCACTTCCAAAACCCAACAGAACCAAAACCACCTGAGGTAAGAGGGCCTCAGGGAAACAGGTGCATAGCCCACATTGTTTTTCTTTCTCCATGCTCCCATTTACTACAAGGATGATGAAACATCATAAAGAGAAAAAGATTGTTCTCAAAATTCATTTCCAATCATATTTTGATCACTTGGTTAATATGACTGGTTAAGTAAAAATACAAGGATTTTAATTTGCAAATTTTGCAGTTTTCTCCCTATATCTTAGTGTCAATTCTATCCTAGTCTTGCCATTTGAATACAAGCTCTGGTTTGTTAGTTGGGCTTTCTTTTTCCAGAACATATATGACATCATTTAGAAAATGTCAACAGCATTCATTTTCTGTTAGTTTTCATTCTCTTCTGTTAGAATTATCTTGCCTAGAATCTATCTTCAACGTCAAGAGGCACAATAAGCAAGAACAAAAGAAACAGCTCCAGGATTTATTGAATTATCTTATTTAATTATGCTTCACAATTTTTTAAAACCCAGATATTGTGGAACAGAAATACAAATGTTACTAAGATGATTTTTTTCAAGAGCCTATTAATGCTTTAACAAAATAAAATCGAATTTCTTTGTATCACAATCAACTACTCCTAAGTTAAATACCTCTGGATTATCCAATACTCTAGATTTCTTAATGAATTTAGCATTGAAAATTAGTAGCTAAAATCAGAAAACATAAAAATTCTATAGCCCTAAACACTTCTTAAACCAGCCAAAGAAAAATAGGACTGTTAGCCATACGTGAGAAACTGTAAGAATTGGGAATTCAAACAGACTTGCTTTATGGTATAAACAAAAACAGAATGTCCCCTGTTGCAGGTGTGTGTCCTCTAAACATAAATTAGAAAAAGTCACCCAAGTTTGAACTGGAAATCAGACCCTATCCTCGTAAATGTTCCACCAAGGCTTTGGGTGAATGT